GAAATAAAGCACCGAAATGTGCGCTGCTTTTCGGTCTGGTTACTACCGTTTATGTCAGAACCGGTGCCATCATGGCACCGGACACCGGTACCCATCCCTACTCACCCCCGACATTTCCTTTGTAAGTATTGTAGATCTCTTTTAGACGGCGGTAACGAAAAGCCAGTTTACGCATCCACTCCACCCCTCCCTGAACTCCTGTGGTGGTTCCTGATGCAGCTCCACTGCTGGGGCCGTTAAATCCATCCGCCATGAAGTTGTAGTTGCTGAAGCAAAGAAAAACTACCTGTGATTACTCAGAACGACACAAAGCATTTTGTAGTGTCTGGGTTAGTTAGCGGGGCAGCGTGTAACACACCTCAGGTCCTGTCCATTGTCATCAGACGCCACATCCTCAACATGGACTTGATCACACTCCTAGAAGAAAACACAAGTAGAGGGATTCTTTTCCTAGTTTTGTTAGGAACTAATTAAATATGAAACTAAAACATGTATGACAAGTAATTGTGGGGCTTTTTGAACACCTTCAACCTGTTAAAATGGAAGGAGGTGGAACCAGAAAAAACACTCACCAGTTACCTGATTATTATTCACATGTATAATAAGATGCTTTTTGATTGGTTGTAAGTTTAGAAGTGCTCATGTCAGGAAACAGAGCCGCATTTGTTTGTTTAATGCAGTTCAACCGGTTTTTGACAGTCAGCCTATTGTCTATCTGCCTTCTTCCATCTGACATGCAACTCAGTGAGTTTGTAAAAAATTAAATTAAATTAAATCTGGAATTCTGGTTTGTATCAGCTGCTGTGAACAAGCAAAAGCTGCTCGTCTCTCATATTCACTCCAGTCTAAACAAACTTCACTGTACCTCGAGGTCATTGAAGAAAAGATGGGTGTCTGCCAGCTCAAAGATCAGCTCCTCCATCTGCAAGCCCAAGTTCAACACAGTCGCCGGGTCCTGAACAAAATAAAACAGACCCACAATAAGCATGTTACACAATTCAATAGGTCTAATTTTTGCATTGTAAGCTCAAAGGATTCATCTTTGGAAAAACCAACCTTGCCAAACTTCTGCGCATAAGAGCCGGTGAGCAAAGAGTGGAATATAATGATGGTTTCATCCAGATCCCATAGAAAAATGCGCTGAAACACAAAAGAACAAGATTACCTGTTGGGCTGCACTCCATATTACAGTGAACTTTTTCCTGCTCCTCTAACTTTCCCATTATATTTCAAAAAGCATGAAAAAAACCCCATAAACATAACTTGGGTTTGGACTTGACACAGAAATGGTTCAGTTCCTGTAATAGTTAATTAATATATCTATCATTGTAAGGATTTCACAAATGTCAAAACAAACTCACTGCTATTAATTATATCCAGTAATGTTTAATAAGCAAATTAAATGGTTACCTCAAGGTCACTCTCAGCAGGTGGAGAGTTATCAGACTTCTTGCCCTTCCCTTTGGCTTTGCCCACCGAGTTCCTGCGGCCGACCTCGTCCTGATCTCGAGCTCCAGCGGGCACTGCCACAGCTGTAGGAAGAGCCGCACAAACAGGCAGGTTTTCTGGTGGGGATGCATCTAAAACGAGACCAAGAACATGAGCGTGGCAGCCAGCATAAAAAACAACCTTTTAATAAGAGAGCAGCTGAAAGAAGATTCTCATTTTAGTTATTTAGATTTTCCACTTAAATTCTTTTTGAATTCCACAGCACATTATGGGATTAAAACGGAGAATTGGCTGCAGACTTTTTCACTTGTTTACTGAGGTGCAGATCCAGAATATTAGCTGCTCTCTTCACACTTCAGTGTAACCTGGTCTAAAGCTGACAGTTTAATGTCTGATCCAACTACTTTAGATCTTAAATTTCTCATCTGCATCTCTTAAATGTCTCGAGCTGTGCAGGGCTGCAGTGGATATCTAAAAAGAGCTCCAGACAAAACAGAAGAGTTCTGTTATAAGTTCTTCCAGGATGTAGAACAAATTGCATCTTGAAAATGAAATTTTAGCCAAGTGCACAGGAGAACTGATAAAAAAATAAATAAAAAGTACACTATACTTCATCCTAACTGTTTAACTAGTTTGTTAAATATTTCTACACAGTAACACAAGCACCTTAACAGTGTGTGCAGTATTCATTTAGTTATTTTTCAGGTTTTTATTTATGTAAAGTTAACTTAGAGAAAGACAGTACCATGAGACGTTTTGGTTTAAGTATTCTTACTGTGCTTTTTCCTGCTTTAAATGTAGGTACAGCAATGTTACACAGCTATTTAACATGTGCTGTAGAACAAAGTGCTGACAGTTATTTAAGGTAAAGAATCCAAAGGCAGAAAAAAAGGTAAAAGGCAAAAGATAATGAAAAGCCAAAAACCTCTAGGAGGCAGTCCAGCTGAGGCGGCCTCCTCTGATTTCACTGCTGAATATCCAGCAACACCTGCACCACCACTGTGGTCATCACTGTTAGGTAGCCCAGCAGGCACATAGCTGGGAGGAAGAGTGTAGTACTGAGAGAACTGACTCTGTCCCAGAGAGTTATAGCTGCTAAAATCCTGGAGAGAAGTGAAACAACAAACAAACGTGATCAGCAGAATGAAAGGACTCCACGCAGGGCTGAGTAACAATACGCGGGAACAATCTCATCTTTTCAAGAAGTTCTAATATCACTGAACATAACACAAACTCAGGTTCTGTGTCAGACAGTACGATGAACCCTCTGTGATCAAAACTTGATCCCAAAAGCATCCACTTCCTGTGGATTTCTTCCCTCACTCAAAGACAAAAATACTGAAGTTTGAGCTGAACTTTTGCTCACATTACAAATGCTTTTAATATCCTTTTATAGATCACTACGTCTAGCATTCTAATCTCCAACCACAGCACAGAATAAACATGTTGAGCACACACATACAAGACTTCTGCATTCCTTGCTTGAGATTTGCACCATATTAACACTTTGCTCGCATACATTCATAGCTTGAAAGGAATTTTTTCCTTTTAATTTTTGGTCATTTTAAAGGCAATTTTCCACTCCCACAGTGCACCAACCGCTCTTAAAAACACACACAAAGATAATTTTATTCTTCATCTTACTGGAGAATCACTCATTCTCACCTGATGGGCCACCGCTGAGGCGGTTGTAGTCGCGGCTGTAGCTGAAGGGATGTTGGAATACACACTGGATGTTGTGAAGCTTGAGCCTAGAGAAAGAAACATTCGCATTAAAAGAGATGCAAAGTCTAAAATATAAAAATAAAAATTCTTCTAGATGATGTTATAATGGCAAGAGAGGAAATCAGAGCTGTGCTGCTGCAGGTTCTCCTTTACTGTGTTCTTCAGGTATTTGCAGACAGTGAGACAGAGTGAGATGGCAGCTTGCCTTGGCTGGGGTATGAGTAGTGCAGCTGGCCTGGCTGGGTTGAGGTATATGTGGAGCTGAAACTGAGAAACCCAGGCTGGCCACCAGAGGGCGCATCAGGCAGCCCTGTCTCTGTTTTTATGCCTGGCCACATAGCACCTGAAGATGAAAGAGAGCAATGGAAGCTGAAGATGAAAGAGGCAGCAGGGGAGAAAGTGGGTCACTGAAGATGCAGCAAAGTTAGTAAACTGGGTACTCCCGTCAAGATTTGTTTTTGTGTAAAAGCAGGGTTTAAAAGCAGACTGGTTCAGCGCCAAAGCACAGTGAGGCTTTAAAAGCAAAGTCATGAAGTGTGATGCTTGGATTTTAGAGAGCAGACTGTCCTTAAAAAGGGTCGTCCTAAAAGAGCGGGCACTAACCAAAAGGTGGGAGACCGTAGGTCTGGCCTGTTTGGGGGAAGGATGAGTACACAGTGGACTGGGCCAGAGGAGGAAACGCCACCTGACTGGTGTATGACGTTACTGCTGGGCTGAAAGAGAGAGAGA